CATCAAGTTGTTTGTGCCTCGTAGCGACCCTATGTACAACTGCCCTAAACTCTACTCTACACTGCACCAATTTCATTGCCTCTGATACACCCATCCTGATTACCCCAGTCACTGAATCAATCCACCTCATAGAGGGTCTTCCCCTCCTGTGCTGTTCCTCCACCCTCCCAAGCATGATGTCCCTCTCCAAGGACCTGTCTCTCCTTACAACATGTCCAAAGTATGTTAGATGGAGCCTCAGAATCCTTGCCTCCAAAGAGCCACCTGGTTTAACCCTTTCCAGGATGAATCTGTTTGTTTTCCTAGCAGTCCATGGTACACTCAATACTCTTCTCCAGCACCACAGCTCAAAGGCATCAATTCTCCTTCTAGCCTCCCTAATCATTGTCCAACTCTCTGATGCATAACAAGTGATTGCAAAGACCATGGCCTGTATCCAGCACACCTTAGTCTATAGAGAGACACCGTTGCTCTTGAGTACTTTAGAGAGGTCCCTAACAGCAGACTTTCCCATCGCAATGTTTTTTTCTTTCGTGGCTGCTGGTGCCAAGAGTGTTGACTGTGGATCCTACAGATTACAAAAGAATATTGTTTCACATTGTTGTTCATTGCCGTGGAATCAGGACATACTTTTAGAGCTGATCCTCTAGTGGACTTTCAAAAGGCTATACATCTCAGGGGAGGAGATTGCCCATCTTTGTCCCGAAAAGCAGCTGGTGGATTCAAACTGCTTGCCTCTGAGTTGGCAATACAACTCTTTACCCACGAGGCCAGGAGGCCTTCAGCACCCCCTTTGTCCAATCTAAGGCTGGAAAATGAGCCTAATAGGTTGCAAGACACTCTACCACGAACATGCCCCTGATCATAAATATGGCGCACGTCTGAGCAATGTTCTGCTCTGTTGAATGTGGGGCCACTAGGACTTGGAGCAATTAAATTCTACAATTCTGTAGCAACTAAAAAATGTGCTGTCTAGTTGAGGGAAGGTACTATTCCATTTCTGTATGTTTAGTCATTTGGTCAGGAAATACCATGTGAGTATCATTTCTGCATGTGGCTATGTACAGAGAAAGATAGGCAGGCAGGGCTTTAAAAAGGAAAGAGGGAGAAGCGAGCTGGTGGGGAGGGGTGGGAAGGGAGAAAATTGTGGCAATGAATGAATGGAAATCCAAAACCTCTGTAAAAATAAAAAATAAAAAATTATATCTAAAAAAAGAGTATTTTTATGCTAGATATGCTTGTTGCTGATATGTTATAGCATCTAGACTTTATCAAGAGATGGAGTTTACCTTTGAAACCATTACATACTATGATCTTACATTAATGCCTTAAATTCTAATTCAATACCATTACATGTAAATTATAATCTTTCCTTTTCAAATTTTAATTTCTCTCAGGAAATAAAATTAGTTTTCATTTTTGTTTTTTATCTACTCACGTTCTCAAGTGTAGAATTACACAAGTTAAAACTGATAACTCATACCAGAATAAAAAATGAATCTACCAAATAGAATTTATTATTTCCTTATAGTCTTTACGTAAAATTTATTTACAATGAAAGGCACAATCATAAGGATATAATCTAAAGAGTTTTGGACAGTGGATATACCCTAGTAATCATAATTCATAAAGATCTAAAACTTCCTAACATCCAGAAATCATGTTTCTTCCAGGTGACATCTCATCCACGAGTGACAGATAGTCAAGTTTTATTATGGACAAAATTTACGTGGTCTAGTACTTGAAATAAATAGAATTATTCTCTATTTTTTCTACCTTATTTTGCACAGCACTGTATTTGTGAGATTCACCTATTTTATTGTTTGTATAAGGTGTTAATCTATTTTTCTGGTGATTAGTATTTAATTGTATAAATATTTTGTACTTTGACAAAAAAAAAAAGGAAAGAAAGGGAAACTTTGCAACGTTTGAGGCTGAAGATTCTGAACGCAGCTATGACTCTTAACTTGCCACCTAGACATTTCCAGAAAGACCACTCAGTCCTGCCACTCAACTCTTTGCTTGCTTGCAAAGAGGCTGTCTCCTCCCTTCTAACTTCCCATGCTTTCATCTACTTCAGACTGGCTTCTGCTCCTATGAAGAACAGCTGCTTCTGATCAGAGTTCTCTATTCTATCGGGTCGTCATCGCCCATGGAGGACTTGGTCAAGACCATTTGCAGCAGAATGATCTTCCAGCTCACTCACTGCCATCAGATAAACTCTGGCACCTGGTGGTGAGCCTCTGCTAGGTTTCTGAGGCTGTCAGTCTTTATGCAAGGGGGCTGCCATCTTTGTCGCTCAGAGCTGCTGGTGGATTTGAATCCCTGACTTTCTGGTTAGCAGCTCTTTACGTTACATGTGATCCCACCAGGGCTAAGAATTATCTCAGAGGCTTGTTAAAAATGCAAGTCCTCACACCTACTGAAAGTTGTTGGTTTTATGTGCTGTTGAGTGGGGACCACCCCACAGCTTGACCCCTCAGAGGGCTTTCAGGTGCAGTAAATGGCACATGAGGAGATTGTCCGTCTTTCTCCTGCAGAGCTGGTGTATTCGAACTGCATACCTTGGATTGGCAGTGCGGTTTCTGACCACCAAGCCACTGGAGCTCCCTACCTACGGCATAGTAAATCCTGACCTACTGATAGTCAGAATCTGGCTTGAGGATGGAATCTGTATTTCAGACCAGGGGCACTGGTCAGTCCCAGTGAATTCAGAGACTTCACTCTTCCTCAGACTTTGCTACAGTTGGCAGCTTGAGGACAGAAGAGGCTGTGTAGAGGCTACGGTGATCCACACCTCAGTCAAGATCGAGAATTAGAGACTGTGATTTCTGGTTCTACCCCTCTCACTGGCTTGGATCTGCCTCTTCATCTTTCTAAGCTAAACTTTCTTACAAAATGAAGAATGGAAAATGACTGCACCTACCTCATAGGAAAACCCACCTCTGTACACCTGGTGCTAAGGAAATGTCAGTCAGTGGTACTGAGGCCACTAGAGGAACCGCAGCAAAAAGATATCTGACTTCTAAAACTGTCATGACAGGAAGTCTAGGTGCACAAGCTGCCTGAACTTGAGACCTGTCAGTCATGTCTAGTTTGCAGGCGCTAGAGATTGTGTATGCTCCTTCTGGGGGAATACGGGGCCTGAGCAGGTGTTCTTGAACTAAGAATAGGAGGAAGGGTGTCTGCCTAGGCCACTGGGGGAAGGAACCATAACAGGCCAAGGGAAAGATGTCTTCTCCCGCTGAGGCCAGGGGGTGGAGGTGATGAATCAGATTGATACAGGAATCCCTGCATTTGCTCCCAATCCACCAACTCCATTTTCTCAGAACACGACCATGGGCCTATGAATTTTCCTCCTGTTTTAGGAACAGAAAGAACACTGGATCAAACCAAAACCTACTGCTGTTGATTCCAACTCCTAGCAACCCCACGTGTTACAGGGAAGAACTGCTTGACCCTGTATTTTCCTGGCTGTTATCCTCATACAGGCAGATTTCCAGATCTTTCCACCATGGCACCAAGGAATGGGCTCAAACCACTGACCTGTGATTAACGACTGGTGCAAACCATTTGTGAGACCCAAGGATTTCTAACACTGGATTATGCGTCTGGGCAATGAAGGCAAACCTCTTAATCTCTCTAAGTCTGTTCTCTTCACTAATACAATGGAGATAATAATGTTCTTCAGTATAGACATAAGAAGCAGAAATATACGGGAAATGTTAAATCTTTCTGTAAACATAGGGTTAATATTCTTTTTTGTAGTATCTTTTCCATGGTTCTCCTTTCACTTTTCCTATCATAAACTAAAAGCCTTCTCTCTAATCTGCTAGCTCTTTAAACTACCTAAAATTCCCTTCTCTACTTTTTAAGCACTAAATTAATCACAAGAGGCCCAGGTGAGGGTGGTTGTGGAGTCAGGTGCCAACCACACAATCTGCACCTCGAGGGTTGATCTGGAGGGAGTCAGGTGGGAAGTCAACCGGGAAGCATAATTCCAAAACAGAAAAGTCGAGAGGGAAGAAGCTCCTAGAATAACCGAGAGTCGCACATATCCAGGTTCTCACCCTCCTCAAGTGGCCTCATCTGTGAAATGGAAACAACCATAGGCGAAGGACTGCTAGGAGGGTACCCCGACCCTACTCTATGGATGAAGGCCACTGGTAGCTGCTGTCCACACACCCCTGCAACAGCCTGGGAAGTGGTATCTACCTCAGTCCTCTCTGGGTCTCCGGTTAAGCTCAGCAAAAATAAAACAAATAACTGAGCCACACTAGATACTATGGGAACTGGGGGGATGAAGGATGAACGTGGCACTATCCTTCCCCCCTGTAGGTGGGTGTTGGGGAGACAGGCACATTGAAACAATCCTTTTGACCTAATGCAGAGGGGTGAGCACAGAGGGTTGTGGAAGCGCCTATGAGGAGCATGGAGCTGGCCCTGGAGCAGACCTGTTGATCTCCTTTGACCAGCTTTCCAGGCATCCAGGGCGTCGGCTAGGAGGGGTCACCCTGGAGGAGGAGTCCCTTGAGGTTTGTGAAGCACCTGTGTGATAGGGTGGACTGAGGGACAAATACAGGAAAGAAGAGACTCCAGGATATAAAGCAGCGGAGCCTGGAACCACAGAGACTTCCCCTGAGGGCAGAATTCCCAATTCTGGAAACTTCTGTCATAATCTCCTTTGACCTTGTTCTTAGTTAAGTTTTGGTGTTACTTTGACTTAATGGTTTCAAATTACTCATGGTAAAGTAAGCTCTTTGTAAAAATCTTATCTTTGCTCCCTGTGTTAGATGGAATGAGAGGGGCAGGAGTCTCCCTAATAAAGGAGTGGCTCAGGACAACCAGAATGTGGACTCCTACATCAGACAAGAGGCAGCTTGAACCCAGCTAAGACAGTTATAGAGTCGGGACCCAGCGTGGAGCATCCGAGGACTCTAAGCCCCCAGCCCACTCACACATGTTCTTCCTGGAAGGAAGGCGACATTTGGCCAACTCACCACGCCAATGGAGAAGTAGTTGTTCATGATGCTGTATGGGACCTGGTCCCCGTTCTCCAGCTCCTCCCTGGGGATGACTTCCAGGTGCCACCGGTCCAGCATAACCAATGGGCTCTGCTCGATGTCCTTCAGGATTTTCGTCAAGCTGCCACCTTCGTAACCTGTAGGGCACAGCATAGCATTCGCGACCATAGTAGATGCGAAGTTGTTATGGGTGCACAGAAAGCTGGCATGCCAGGAGACTCCGTGGACGTCTAGGACTGGGATGTTCCCCAACGTGTTTTTGTACCAAAAGGACTTAGTATCCCTGATGCAAGGAGTAAGGGAGAGCAGTATGTGTTAGTTCGAAAGAGGTGTTGTGACTTGGAAGCAGGAGAAGGGGGCACTGGGGAACCAACAGGTCTATTCCAGGATCATAGCAGGTCAGAGGTGGACAGAATTTTAATAAGATGGTCTCCAAAATTTCTGACCATAGTTTGTAAATATTTCATAACCCCAGTGTTTTGAATGAGGAGATATTATTCATTGTTGTTGCTGTGTACTGTTGAGTTGGAAACTCCAGTGGATTTTAAGGCAGTTTAATCACACAGGAGGAGTTTGCCCATTTCTCTCACAGAGCAGCTAGTGGATTCGAACCATGTTCCTTCAGGATTGCTGTGCAGCTTTTTACCGTTAGGCCACTAGAGCTCCCTACTAATGATTACGTTATATATCACAGTTCACTCTATGAAATGGGGATAACTGTAAGAGGATTTGATTGAGCCAGCCTCTTAAAAACAGGCTGGACTTTTCTATAAGAAAGAGATTCCAAGCTAAGAAAGATTTTATGTGAGGAGAATTTTCTGTTGCTGGCTTTTAAAATGCCAGGATTCATGTTGGGGGTAAAATAAAAATAAGGGCAGTCCTAGAAGCTGAATGTGGTCCTTAGCTGCTCATGAGTAAGACAAAGGAATTTCAGTCCTACAACCACAAGGATCTGATTCTGACCAACAACCTAAATTACCTTACAGGCAACTTCTACTATGTTATTGCTGATTGCCATTGAGTCGCGTATGACTCATAGCAACCCTATGAATGAAAGACCCAAAGCCTTTCTATAACTATCTTCGTTTCTCTAAGTTCATAGTTTCCAGAGGCATGTGGTTTAGGAAGTGGATGTCACTCCTGCTTCCAAATTGGGAGCTTCACCAAACACTGTCCACCATGGATAACTGTTATGGCACTTGACACCCCAATGGCACAAGGCTCAGCATCACAGCAGCCCCAGATTACCTCAGTACAGAACCTCCCAAAAAAACATTGCCCGACTTAACGTTCTGATTTCAACCTAAGACTCAGAGAAAAGAATTTAGGCATTGCTCTATCAGGACACCTGACACACAGAACTTGAACTAGTAAGTGGGTATTGTGTTAAGATGCTAAACTTGTGATAATTTGTCAAGCACTAATAGAAAACTAATCCTTCTTTTCTTAGGTATTGTGTGTGAGTCAGTTCTAACCCCCAGCAATCCTGTGTAAAACAGAATCCCTGCACCATCCTCGCAAGAGCTGCTGTGGTTAAGCCTGTTTTTGTAGTCACTGTGTTAATCCATGTCACGGAGGGCCTTTCTTTTTTTTTCTTCACCCTTTCTTTTATCAAGCAGGGACTGGTCCATCCTGACAATATGTCCAAAGTACACAAGACAGTCTCACCTTCTTCATTTAGAAAATTCTGGCTGTACTTCATCTAAGACAGATTTGTCCATTCTTTTGGCAGTCCCTGGGATATTTATTATGCTTATCCAACATCATAATTCAATAAAGGCATTACTGCTTCAGTCTTCCTTATTCATTGCCAAGTTTCCTTTTGCATGTTTATGAGGTGATTGGAAGTACTAGGGCTTGGCAGAGTTGTACCTTGGTTTTCAAAGTGAAATATTTGCTCTCTAATACTTTAAAGAGTTTATCTGAAGCAGATTTTCCCAGTGCAGAACATCATTCAATTTACTGATTAAAGACCCTCAACAAGACGGAATGATACAGTGATGGTATTAATGGCTCAAGTGTATCAGAAATGGTGAGGCTGGCACAGGATAGCGCAGGGTTCAGATCAGTGGTTCTCAGGGTTACTATGAACCACAGTTGACCTGAAGGCACATAACATCAACAGCTTTCATAGGAGGGGAGCTCTGCTGGCATAGTCTTAGGGACTATGTTAACCCAAGGTCTAGTGGTTCAAATCCATGGGAGAAAAACAGGCAATCTCCTTCCATTTGTCTTACAGTCTTGGAAGCCCAGTTGAGCCTCAGCTTTCAGTTAGCTCTAACTTGATAGCAAGGAGAGAGAAAAAGTTCTCATAGAGGTTAACTGTGTATCCAAGTAAAATGAAATTCTTGATAATGTTAATATTTTCTCCACTTAATATTGCTTATTGTTTGTGTTTTTTGAGGGGCAATCCATACTGAAGGCTACAATTACTGGTCTTCATCAACTATTGGTGCTTCCACAATCATTGGTGCTTCAAGCCCTCTTGACTTTCAGCAGAGCAAGATATGTTATCTCCATGTTGCTGGTCATTGATGTGTTGTCCTCCTATCCTGAAACTACAGTCTACTTTCTTTACTCCAATGTCTCAGATGATTTCTTAGCATGGATGGAATAAGCATCAGGGAAGTGATATAATCCTAACATACCGTTCCTGATTTGAAAATCATAGAGTAGCCCTGTTCTCTTACAACAACTACCTCTCGGTCTATGTATAAGTTGCATGTGGATACAATGAAGTATTTTGGAATTTTCATTCTTTGCTATGTTATCCACAATTTCTTCAAGATCCACATCTTAAGCCTTTGAATAGTCAATACACACATACATACCTTTTTGGTATTCTCTGCTTTCAGATCAAGATCTATCCAATACTAGCAACGATATCCTGTATATTCTACAGCTTCTTCTTGATCCAGCTTGAACTTTTGGCAGTTTCCTGTACATGTTCTGCTGCAATTAGTTTTGAATTATCTTCAGCAGAATTTTACTTGCATATGATATAAATGTTACTGTCTGATAATTTTTATATTAAGTTAGATTATCTTTCTTTGGAGTGGGTTAAGAAATGGACTTCTTTCAGTCACTTGGCTAGGTAGCTGTCTTCCAAATTTCTTGGCATTAAGATAAGCTAGTGCTTCCATAATTCAATTGGCTTGCCAAAACATTTATGTTAACATTCCACCAATTCTTGGAGCTGATCTTTCTGCCAATGCCTTTAGTGTAGCTTGGACACCTTTATTCAATTCTATTAGTTCTTAGCCACATATACCCTAAAATAGTTGAGCTATCAATTGTTGTTACATGCTATCAAGTTGCCCATGACTCATAGTGACCTTATGTACAACAGCTCTGAACCCTGCTCTATCCTGAGCCAATCTTACTGTCTCAGACATACCTATCCCCATTACCCTAGTCATTGACTCAGCCCATCTCATCCATGGTCTTCCTCTCTTGTGCTGTCCCTTTACCCTCCCAAGCACAATGTCCCTCTCTAAGGACTGATCCCTCCTTGCAACATGCCCAAAGTATGTCAGACGAAGCTTCAAAATCCTTGCCTCCAAGGAGCAGCCTGGTTTCACCCTTTCTAGGACAAACCCGTTTGTTCTCCTAGCGGTCCATGATATATACTCAATACACTTCTCCAGTACCACAACTCAAAGGCATCAATTCTCCTTCTATCATTCCTAGTCATTGTCTAGCCTTCTGACTCATAGCAAGGAATTGTAAAGACTATGGCCTAGATCAGGTGCACCTTAGTCTCTAGACTGAACTCATTGCTCTTCAGTACTCTGGAAATGTCCTTGACAGCAGATTTTCCCCAGTGCAATTCTTCTTTTGATTTCCTGGTTGCTGGAACCAAGAGTGTTAATTAGTCAATACTAATTCTTTTAGATAAGTGACACTATATTCCTTCCCTCTTCTTTTTTAGACTTCCTGCATATTCAATATTTTACCAATAGTATCCTTCAACATTACAATTCAAAGTTTGAATTTTTCTTTCTTTCTTTCTTTCAATTTGAGAAATACTGAGTGTATTGTTACCCTTTGGTTTTCTAACTCCAGGCCTTTCCACATTTCATAATTCTTTCACTTTTTGAGATACCCTTTGTCATCATTTCTGGTCAACTCTCTTATACCATCATTTCTTCTGTTTGTTTTAACTACTCTAAATTCAAGGTCAGGTTTCAAAATCTCTTTTGACATCTATTTTGCTCCTTTCCCCCCCTCTTTCCTCTTTTTAATGACCCTTTGCTTTCATCACGTGTGACAGTTTTTATCCCACAACTTGTCTGTTCTTCAGTCATTAGCATTTCAAGGCTGTCCTTTAGCTCTTGTTTTAATTTTCTATCAGCTTCAACTTAAATATGCATGTCAGCAATTGACAGTCTGTTCCTCCGTTGGCCCCTTGTCTGGTTCAGAATGACGATACTGAGCTTCTCCACTGTCTTTTGCCACAAATGTTCTCAATTTGATTCCTGTGTATTCCATCTGTCAGGGTTCATGCACATAGAGATGAATATGCAATTGAAAAATTGCATTTGCAATGAATGAGTCATTGGTATTGAAAAATTCTATCATTTCCTCTCTCTGGTATATTTTCTATGACTAAGGCCTTCCCGAACCCCCCATTCCTGATCCGTCTTATTTCCAATGTTTTCATCTGAGTCTCTAGTGATTATCAATGCATTTTGATGGCATGTTTGACCAATTTCAAACTTATTATCCTGTCATATTTGAGGATCAATTTTGAATATATATATATATATATATAAAGTTGTATATAAACAATGGATTGTGAGTGACAGAGACAGTATTTTCTTTCAAGCAATTTTCATCTACTAACCAGCATAAAAGGTTCGAAATTCAAAAGGACCAAAACCAATCCATTTCAATTCACTAATACCTAGGATAGTGAACTGTGTTCCATTTCATTTCTGACCGCTTCCCAGTTCCCAGATTCACCAAGCCCTGTACATTTCCTGTCCTGATTATGAATGGATGTTGGCCCCATTTTGAGTCACATCTCATTGGCACAGGCAGGTCCTATGGGTAAGGCTGAGTGTGTTTTGAGGAGGCAGCTCTTCCCCAGATGTCTTTTGAGTGAACGCCTTCTGATCCGAGGAGTTCATCTTTC